CCAGTGCCACCCGGGATAACCCATCCCAGGACACTGCGTGCCCAGTGCCACCCGGGATAACCCATCCCAGGACACAGAGCAGCCCAGTGCCACCCAGGATAACCCATCCCAGGGCACAGAGCAGCCCAGTGCCAGCCCTGGGAACAGCACTGACGGCACAGGCAGAGCCAGGGCAGTCTCCTGGGATCATTCCCAGAGTCCAGCTCCAGAACAGCCACACACAGCTGGAGGCTCCAGGAGGGACCAGGGCCACCCCTTCCATGCCAAAGGCAGATCCACAAGCCGGGCCAGTGGGATAAAGCTCTCATGTAAGTTGGAAAAACACCAGCTGATATCTGGAGAAAATAACTCACTTTCCACTGGGGATAAAGATTCAGATTTGTATATGTGATGTTTTGTTTTTTTCCAGCCTTAATAAACTTCTGAGGAAGAAAACCAACTTTTCAGGAGTATTCTAGGAACAGCAGGTGAGTTCTAAACTTCAGTTCATACAGAATTAATCCTGCAAACATTAATTAAAAGCTGGGKTTTTTTCTTGGTAAGCAGACAGAATAATATCTGAATCCCTGAATAAGCCTTGAAAGCAAATMATGTTGAAATTACTGCAAACTGCATAGTTTTAGAGTCTTTGCTTGGACGTGAAAGTAAGTAATTTTATCTTGATCTTTATATGAACGCAAGCCTATCCCCTATTTAATAAAAATAAAAATTAATTCACCAAGATCACTAAAACAAGAATTGCATGTGTTGAATTGTTTTCCAATACAACAGAAAAATTCCAAGAGRCTGGAAGGTGTTTTGTTTTAGAACCAGTAGAAAGTTTCAGCTTTTGAAAAAAAAGCCCACTCCCAAACAGCAGCGAGCTGCTACCAATGATTGAGCAAAAGTGGGGTCCAATGCAGCATTAACATTATATTGTGACATATAACCCCTGGAGGGACTGATACAGACTGATAGAGCAGGTACCTTTGGTCCAAAATAAAATTACTGAAACATCATAGCAATATCTCCAAATAAGAATATAAATACATAGATACTGGAAGTGGGCACTTGTTGGAAATCAAACAGAATTTTCCTGCCTTCTCCCTCACTTTGGGTTYCTTGTCTTTATAAAAAAGGGTTACTTTTCACTGGTGGATCTAATTTCTTCATTTAAAAAAATAATAATAAAAAAATAAGAAAATTAGTTTAACCAGTAAACTAGTTCCTCTCTCAAATACTAATACTACTAACTCTGTGAGACAGTAAGAAATTAAACACAGAAAAAGGAGCTTCTCAAAATCATTTTTCTTTTAACTGTATTCCGAGGACAACACCGTGTAACCGGGAAACCTCGTGAGGTCACGGCMATAGATTTCAAGCTCTGGTGAGCTGAAGTGGTACGCGATTCACGGGCAGCTCATGCATTCGGTCCCTAGTGCTTCAAAACAGCGCGGTGTTTCCTTGCAGAGCTGTGC